GGAAGCTGGGGTGTCGTGGTAGATGTCTGTGCTGCAATAGCACTGGAGTAAGTCAGACAGCTTTGTAGTAGCTGTCTGCATCCAGTTATTGAGGCTCGCTAGTGTCTGGGGGAATCGCAGCGTAGATAGTGGATGAGCAGGCATAGGCACCACTCTCGGAATCTATTGAATGCAGTCAGGCTAACGAACATATCTTCCCAAACTTCTTTCTTCTTCGACCTCTCCAGGCCGGCAACTCTAGTATCACCCCCCTTGGCCATCATCCGGGATATCATCCTCATCGACTGTAGTAGGTAGTGCGTCGGGGCATGTGTAGATGAGGGTCCTGAATCCTAACTATCACCTTTCCGAACCCTCGGAAGTGCTCTCTAAGGTGGAAGGCTCGTCTCGGAGCTAATATCTACCCTAAAGCTGTTGTGGTTTTGATTGAACAGCAGGCTGCTCTTGCACAGAGTCGCCCTCCGATGCTTCCCTAGACATGACATACGAACTTGATTCAGCGGGCTCTGCAGCTCTACCTCACCCGGCTGCTACCTTTTTGGATATAGTTCTTTGTAAGGTGAGTAGTAAGGTACTCTTGCCCCGGCCTCGGGAGGGTTCACCTCTTCCCTTTGATGTTTCACCACGAACACGTGACCTAACCATTTTCTACAATAAACAGCAACAAGAGTCAGTTCTAATTCAAGTGCAGAATAGTAGACAATTGCATAACAAAATATGTTGCAGGGTGGCGAAGTGCGGTCCGCACAATTGCAAGTGCGGCCGTAGGTGAGGTTTTGCAGACCGCACAATTTGAAAGAACAGCCGCAGAAAAGAAACTGTGGTCCGAACAATTTTGAGTGCGGCCGCATAGTGGGTACTTTAAAAATGGCAACTCTCTGAAGACAGAGAATGCCCTGATCTGCGGCCGCACACACTTTTCTGCGGCTGCGATTGAATTTCTGCGGACCGCAGAATTTTTAAGTGCAATCCGCACATTCTTACCATACCAAATGCCCTAACCTACACTTCTGCGGACCGCACAATTCCTTGTGCGGCTGCACATTTCAAAATTTATCAGGCAGAGTTCTTAGGGTTTCGATTTTATGCACAATTTAAACATGGTAGTAGCAATTAAACATGATAAACAATCTACCCATTCCCCAAATAACAAGTAGGAGATTACCCAACACAATCTATGCCCCACATAGATATGAAATTGACAAATGGTCTAAAAATAACTAACAAATTATAAATTAAATTAAGAAAATTGAAGAATTCTAAAAATAATTAGAACATACCAGTGATGAAGTGGTGTTAAGGAATAATCAAAGATGCTAAATTAAGTGGCAGATGATTGAATCAGTTGACGATCTCTTAGTGCATAGGAAATATTCACTCGTTCTCCGTCAAATTCTAGTATAGTTTAAGATATCATCCCACAGAGATTGGAAAATCTATGCTACAAACTTATAATATTTTAGCTACTATTTGAGAAAACCAAATTGATGAAAAGAGAGTAGGTTTTTGAATTTGTAAATTACTTAACCAAAAAACGACTTGTGGAAAATTTATATTTAAAAAGTGTTGGGAATCGTTGAATTCACTTGATGATATTTTTATAATGAAATCTCAATTTCTACATATATTTTATGAATGAATAATTACTTATTGCTATTACAATTATGTTTTGCTCACTAAAAAGTAAACAACTAATAGTACTCCTTGAGATTATATTATTAACTGACGTACGACTAGTGATGATAAGGCCGAAATATATGTCTTGCCTGAATTGTGCCAAGAAGTAGTAAAGACCTCTTGAGATTGTCTTTACGAAGAAATCAATGATATTGCGTATAACAATTCCTTTGTGAGAATTAAAATTGAAGTAAGCAAAAATCAAGATTTGGAATGCTAGATTACTGAAAATTACCCCTATCTATTGATTTACTCTAGTCAGTATGTATCGATTTTGCTTCGTGAGAATTACAAAATCAATACAAGTAACTTTAGAAATAAATAGATAGATGTGACTAATTAAAATCTAACATCCCAGCACAATATAAAAGTGGAGCTAGAGAATCTCAGGCAAAGTATGTAATAAGATTGAGAAAACTATTATAAATATATATCAAGCTTCACCAACTATCCCAACAAAAAGACACTACCCCATTATCGAGTATTTGAAAAAGAAAGAACTTCCATAACATGGCCTACATTGCCAACACTGCCAAAAAATCTGAAAATTATAAGAAGTAATGAAAGAAGAACAAGAAAGATTAAGAGACCAAAGCTTTAGAAAATAAAGTGGCTCTTTTGTTCTTTTTTCTTCGATGCGTACTACACAAAGAGTTGCCTTCTATTTATAAAAGTGCATTTCTTCTTGAAACATTGTAATCTTAACTGAAGAAGATACGTAGTGAGGAGAATGTGTCCCGAGGAAGATGCGTCGTAACCTTCTTGCATTGTGAAGTGAATTTGTTACAGCCTTCTCGTTTCTTTCATTTTCATGTTTTATTAATAGTATTCTTATCTTCTGCAAAACATTGTTAGAAAATATAGAGAATCAAAATATTATATAAATACTTTATTAAAAATAGTATATTTTTAAGTATATACTCCCTCCGTTTCAATTTATGTGAACCTGTTTGACTGGGCACGGAGTTTAAGAAAAAAATAAAGACTTTTGGAATTTGTAGTCATAAACAAGTCCAAATAGGCCCCAGAGTATTTATGTGGTTACAAAAGCTTCTTATTAAGGGTAAAGTTGTAAGTTTAAACTAAATTGTTACCAAATTTAGAAAGGGTTCATTCTTTTTGGAACGGACCAAAAAGAAAATAGGTTCACATAAATTGGAACAGAGGGAGTAATATATACATATTTTCTATTCATCAAACTCCCCCATACTTGAATCAATGCTCGTCCTCGAGGAGAATTATTTTATTTGTAATTATTGTTTCTTGTAGACTAGAAAAGTAAGAAAATAAAAATTCACATAACATTCAAAACCTATAAATTTTTCAAGTCACCAAATCTTTACCTTGTTTCTACTTCTGCTTTTGTTTGACAAAAAATTTTATCTCCTCCTTTTGACGAGCCTTTTGAGATTGATAACATTATGATCACAATTCTTGAGTTTCTTAAACTTTGTCCATAAGCTTTCCATTCATGTCAATCTCCACTAATGTAGAATCATCATTGATTTTTAAAATCTTTTTAGGACTTTTTCGGGCTTTTATTGTTAGGCTTAGTGCGGGTACGGAAAATAATATATATATAGTGACTATGTTCCTTCCAGCTTTAGAATGTGAGCCAATTATTTTACCAAAGAAACTAGTACAACTTAATACAAAGAAGATAAACGCTAGAGATGTCTCCAGTTCAATGATTTACACCAATTAAGTCAACATTCCTTTCAACAGAAATATCCTTTATAAGTTCGAACTTCTTACACCAAGAATTTATTCCATAAGTATATTCACATTATTTTTATTTTTTTAGCTATATATATACACAAATCCACCTTCCTCTGAACACAAACTTTACTCCAAAAAGTATTCCTTCATCCCTTGCTTAAATAACCATTTTTGCTTAATTATAGCTGGAAGAAATCTTCTTTTTTTGGTTAAACCAATATGGTGTATCAAGAAGAATTGGTTTATCCTTTCTCCTCTTCTTCTTTTTTTTTCTTTCCAATTTTTCAATATGGCTCGAAGTTTGGGTGCTAAAGGAAAATGTGTGTGTGTAGGAGTAGAAATAGAGAGGCTAAAAAGTGATCAAAGAAAGCCTAATTTCATTTAAAACTCAATGTTGTCTATAATTTCTCCTTGATAGATATTTGGGGCAAGTTCTAGCAAAGTTTTATTGATTCTACCTGTTGAGATCATAATACTTCTCAATTCCAACTATTTTCCAGATTAGGAGATTCATTATTGCCTTCACAAGAACACAAATACAAACTTGAAAGTTATATGGCATAAATGAAAAAATATGTTTGAAACCATGCGAATAATTATTTGAAAACTTTAATATTATACAAGAACAACAATTAAGAATAAAATAAAAGATTAGTCTATTTGTATTTATAGAAAAATATATGTTTATATGTATGTGTATTTGCCGATGCATTAAACAAGGAAGAATAATGCATCTTTCTCGTTGGATACATTGTCTATGACTTTGTAGCCCAAACGACCTCTTTGCATATAGAAGCTTTTGTGCGTGTCAAGAAACATCTAAGAGAAAGAAATGACATCTTGTAACAACCCCCAAATCCATTACGAGAAGCACTGTTTAGTTAAAATAATGCATGACAGAAGCAACAAAAAAAATTGTGATAACCTTTAAAGCTAACTTTTCCAATCCAAAATTGACTACAAAGGAAAATCATATACAAAGGAAAATCATATAATTAAGCACCAACTCTCAGTTTTACATAGAACAACCATTAATTATAGTCTATGGATAAAATATTTTATTCTATGCAGCTATATAGAATTAGAATGTAGGACACTGTAAATATGATATAAAAGGGAAAGAATATATATATATATATATATATATATGTAATCCTCTAGTTGCTTGACAAAACCAATCATACCAGATTAAGTAATGAAAAATCTCAAAGAAAGTTACTGCCCAAAGAGCACCAAACATCAGTACTACGTTCTTAGTTTCTCTAGGTTTATCATCTGGAAATCAACAAAAAATTGTCCATTTTGGTCCAAAAGAAAACCACCAGATAACCAAGAGTAGCCAAACCAGAAAAATTATACTTATAAGACCATATGTATCTATTTTAAGAAAAAGAAACTTACCTCTCGATGCGTCACAAGATGGAGGTTTGATGCATCAGGTATATGTTTGTCACTTTTGTATCTTGGATTCATTTTTCTTTCATGTTTAACTTTTTCTTCAGCAATGAAACCAAAACAGTTAGCGAACATTCTCTGACTCGCTATGGACATTTTTGCATAGAGCATTAAGGCCAGTAACATCCTACCGTAGAATAGTCCATCTATATATAAATGCGAAACTATATTAATTAAAAAAAATTAAGACAATAATCATATTTAAAACGTAGTATTTACATTAATTTAAAAGTTCCTAAATTACACAGGAACGTCTTGATATGTTCCAACTATTCATACTAGCAAAAACTTGAACCTGTCAGCAAGCAAACGTTCTATGAACATGCAAATATTTCACAGCAACAAAAACGTATACTTACCAGCTGCATCAACAATTAGGTCCTATATAAACACTAAGAAATAATAACATATTTCCTCTTACCCAAAAACCCAAAGTTCCCCCACACTTAAACCGAATGAATTACGCCGCGTGAGAGATATTCCCTTCATCTCTTAGTCCTCATCCTCCGAATCAGAAGATTCTTCTGTTAGGACTCCCTTTCCTTTTCCAATGACTTCTCTTAGCCTCTTTGTTTTTTTCTGATGTGGAGTACTTTCATTAATCACAATTGCTTTACCTTTTACATTATGAGTAGGCTAAAAAATACTTTCAAGATTATTAAAAGTAGTAATATCTTCCAGATGTGGCAAATTTTTGAAAATATTACTGCTTTGAGCAGACATTGCATCTGAACCATTCGGAACATCAACTTTAGGTGGTATCCCTGGTTCGAGCATTTCATCAAGTAATGTCTGTTGGGTTTGCAAGACATCGTCTTTACAAAAAAACGAGGAATTGGTGTAGTAGCAGGATCTAATCATCTTATTGGTGGGAAAAGAGGCAAATCATGAAATCCCCAAATTTCACCCATGGTACGCATCACATTAGAAAAATCACAACCAAGAGAAGAATTATACACAGTTCTGCATATTAATATGAAACTCCCTTTCCATTGTTTCTTGCATCCTGTTCATCATCTCTGCTCTATTTTCTTCTGCCTTATCATGCTTTACAGCAAGTTGCGCCATTTTCTGGACCAATTACCTCATAAGTGTTAGTTGTGCATTTGGATATGCTTGCCTTGGCCTTTCTTTTTGCCCCGATTCTCTCCTTGGACCATCTATTTCATCACATCGACTCCAAAAAATTTTAGTAATCATCATAGAAGAAGGTGTGACAACCATTTGGGGGAGTGGATACACACCAAAGTGTCTCAATAAAGCAGTTATTGTTGAAGAAAAGAAAATGCTCCTCGCACTTGGATCATCTACACTTGCCTTGATATTGCTATTGATGATAGTTTCAACATCAAGTGGCAGACAAGTGCATATGGCATGAAGCAGTAGCACTCTGGGTAACAAGACAATAGAATTATTAGTATTTGGCATTAGCCTGTTGGTTATAAAACTTACCCATGGTCTGCTTCTGTACCCAATGTGCTCTCCACTAGGCTTTAACACCCAATTCGCACCACATGGGCATAATTTCCCTTCGACTTCCTCCCAATCTGGTGCAGCTAACAGAAGGTGCATCAACACATTATTGACTGACTCGAGACCAAAAATGTGGTTAATGGTCTCGGGGGAAAAGTTGATTCTTCTTCCCATGATTGAAGATTCATTATTTTCTTGGTTAAGATTCCTATAGAACTCCAAAACTAGCTCCAAGCAGAAATCTCCAGGAGGATGTACAAAAAATTCCCATTTATAGTGCTTGATTATCTCTACTATGGTTTCATCAAAGTCACCATCTTCAGAAAAAATTCCATTTCTTTTTCTTCAATAGGATTTGGACTTTTCTGTCCATTTTCGTGTGAAGCTTTAGGGAATGAATTTTTTTTGTTGGCCATATGGAAATGGTGATAAGAGATTTGCAAAAGAGAAACAAAGAAGAAGATGATTTTTGTGCGTTGTTGTTACTGCTGAATGGGTTAAAGAGGGGAATATGATAAAAGACTAGGGTTGAATATTCTAAATGGTCCTAAGGAGAATACTTAATAAGCTTAAGAAAAAGAATATAATAATACAAAATACTATTAATCTATGATAGATTACAGGAAGTACACATTATGGTCTCTATCCCAAAATTCTTGCATTACTTTACGTATCAGTACTTTCTTCCTTCTTTTAGATATTTTCTTCTTATATTTTTTTTTTTGAAAAATCTATATAAAATATGGTTAATGTAATACCTTGTTTTAGTAAAAGAGCTAGAATCGTTACTTATTATGTGTATATGTGATGATTCAAAAGGTCATCTTATGTTAGAACTCGATTTCGTATTTCGAGGTCTTAAAAACCTCATTTTATCTCTCTTCGATTTGCGTGCGCAATCCGTACGCGTTTCCGGAAAGCTTCTTTGTTGAAAATTGATGAAATAATAATTTTTGGCCTAAAAAGTTGATTTTAGTAGACTCCGGTCAACGTTTTGAGAAAATGGACCCGGACCCGTATTTTGACGGTCCTAGTGGGTTCGTAGTAAAATATGTGTCACGATCCGAATTTTTCACCCTCGGGAGTCGTGATGGCGCCTACTCGTGAAAGTTAGGCAAGGAGAGTATTGGACATTTTATTAGCCTTTTTCCTTAACCTTTTTACATTTACGAGCTAACATGATGATCAACAGCGGAATAATTATGATACACAAAATGCGGAAGACGAAATCTAATAGTTTAACTAAATACTAATACAAAATCCAAAAAACAACTCTACCCAGAATTGGTGTCATAATGTCACGGACCATCTACGAATTCTACAAATAGTAGTCTCAATGAAAAATACAAATCTGTGTCTGAAATACATAAAAACAGAATGGAAAAGATAGAAGGGGACGCCAAGGCCTGCGGATGTCCGTAGGTCTACCTCGGGTCTCTGCTTAAGGCTGTATTGTGGGTCGGGCCCAACCCGAGATCGCCCCGGAACAGCTAGCAAATGGGCCAAATGGGCCGGTCCCTAACGGTCCTAAAAGCCCAATATGGGTCGGTCCTCCCAAAATAGACCGCGAGCCCGAGACCGTTTAGCCCGGGACCGGTAGGCGGGTCTGCACAGGTTCAACCGGGCCAAACGGGCCCAATGGCTATTTTTCAATTTTTTTTTTAAAAGGCCAACGGTTAGAAGTTTAAAACTAGTCGTTGGCCTGCCATTTTAGCCGTTTGGCTTTTTAAAATATAGCCATTTGGCCCCCAAACTTTGTTTTAATCCCAAACCTTTTATAATTACACTTTTTCCCTATTTTTAACTATAAATACCCCTTCATTCTTTCATTTTTACTCACAAATTCATCAATCTCTCTCTAATTTTCTTCTATAATTGCTTACTTTATTATTGCAATTTTGTGAAAAAATGTAAAGTTGGTGAATTGAAGTATTCAAGTCTTCAACGATATTCAATTTTCAGTAAGTTGTTCATCGATTCGGTAAACTTGTTCCAACTCTTAAGTTTTAATATTATAGTTTTGTTTGATTTAGTTTGTATAATTATAATTAATATGGACTTTTCTTTGAAAAAAATATTTGGTAGTAAGTGTAAGGGAAAATTTGAAATTGGTGAATCTAGTCGCCAAGCTACTACTACTCCCCCGGCTCCCGACCCAGACCTGTTACCCGTCCTCCTCCACCTATTATTCTTGATAGTGATAATCTTTGTTTTCAATTTTTCGATAGTCAATTTTGCCATGATGTTGCACCAGGTCAACAATTAAATGATGAAGTTATGAATGCTCTTTATCCTAATCAAACTATCTTTGAAAATGATGAGGAACATGATGATTTAGATGAAACGCAACCGGATTTAGATGATACACCTACTAGTCCTGTTAATAACCCAACTGATAATAATTCAAATGATGTCCCGCCTGACCCTCCTGTAGTAACCCCTACTTTTAATAGACAACCTTCTAAACAGACCGAAACATCTCTTGTTTGGCACTTTTTTACTCAACTAAGAGAACAAAATAAGGCTAAGTGTAAAACTTGTAGGTCTTTGATGGCTCATAAATATACTGGAGACCGTAGCAGTACGGGTACTTTGACTAGACACATAAAGAAACACCCTAGAGATAAAGCTAGATATTTACAAATGAAAGTTGTGCAAGAGGAGAGAAGTGTAGATACTAAGGTTAACCCTAGTATAAGGTCAAATCTAGTTCAACTGAGAATTAACACTGTTATCGGTGGCATTTTATATTATGATCCAAATAAAGATCGTGAAGAATTAGCAAAAATGGTTACTGTTATGTGCTTACCTTATAGTTTTCCTTCTAATCCTCACTTTGTGCATTATATTAGAAGTGTTTTTAATCCTACTTATAAAGGATGGCCTCGCACAATCATAAAGAGCGATATTTATAAATATAAACATGAATATGAATAATATTTGCGCTATTTATTTACTCATATAGATTGTCACATTGCTATTACTACTGATATTGGTAGAAGTGGTAATGACTGTGATTATCTAACTGTTATAAATCATTGGATTGATGAGGACTAGATAATACAAAAGCGTATTATTGCTTATAGAATAATTAATTCACGCCACATAGGTAAGTTTATTGCTAACACAGTTGCAGATATTTGTAGATATTTCTGCATTAGAGATAAAATAATGTCAGTTTCAATGGATAATGCTTCTAATAACACTAATCCTATAGGCTTGCTTACAACCACACTAAAACCTGCATTTAGTAATATTTTCCATGTTAGATGTATTTGTCCTATTTACCATTTAATCATCGATGATGGTATGAAAATTTTAAATGTGGAAATTGAAAAGGTTAAAATGGCTCTTAATTGGCTTTTTTATTCAAACCGTAGAAGTAGACTTAGAGAATATTTTAAAAAATGTGATGAATTTGGCCTTAGAGAAAGAAAGGTTCTTAAACCTTGTCCGACTAGATGGAATTATATGTATGAAAGTTTAGCTGTTGCATATGAATATAGAAACCCAATAAACGCAACATTTAATGCTTGTGTTGGTGGTGATGATGATGATAATGATGATGATGATGAACACCTTACAGATCAGGATTTGACTAATATTAAAATGCTTGTAGACATTTTAGAACAATTTCATGTTGCTACAAATGAATTATCTGGGCAATATTATCCTACTATTTCTAACTGTTTAGTTTATATTGCAGCACTTGCAGATTTGTTTACTCAATTTTCAGAGGGTGGGGTAATTTATCAACTTGCTATTAATTCTATGAAAGATAAGTTTAAAAAATATTTTTTCCCTATCCCCCTATTTTTGGTGTTGCTTCCATGTTAAATCCTACCATGAAATTAGGAGGTCCTCACTTTTGGTACACAAAAATTTATAAGGCTTTATCACTTTCAGATGAGGAATTTGCTACACTTGGAGATGCAAAAGCCTCAATTAAAATAAATGCTCAAACAATTTATAATGCTTATCAACTTGCCTTAGATCATGCTAGATCAAATGTTCCAACTCCTACTTTGTCTAGTTCGCAATCATCTAAAAGAACTGCAGGCCTAAAAGCACTTAGTTCTTGGACGGAGTTCAGAGGTTCTCAAGGTGATAATATTGGTGATAGTTCACAACTAAATGATCTTCAAGTTTATTTGTCGCATGGACTTGAATCAGAGAATCCCGACGGCTCCTTTGATGTTTTGGAATGGTGGAAGGACAAACAAAAATACTATCCGGTTCTTTCAAGGATGGCTCGAGATATTTTAAGTGTTCAAGCTTCAACAGTGGCATCGGAGAGCGCTTTCAGTCAAGCGAGACTTCAAATCGGTGATCATAGAGCGTCTATGAGGGAGAGCTTGGAAGAATCAGAACTCTTCAGAGATTGGATCTGTTTGGAAAGAAGAAATTTTGGACTTGCAAAATCACAACTGGAGATAGACGAAGCTTATGAAGAAATGCTAGCGGAACTTGCGCAGGGTGCTGCTTTTCCCGAAAGCGTTGATGAACAAGCTTCTTTTCCGCCACCACCAACAAAAATTCCTCCGGACCTTGAAGGATTTATGAAATTTGTTAGAGAAGATACATAGACTAATATGTAACTTATATTTTGGCACATCTTCCTTAGTTTTTTTCCTTTTAATGGTGGTATTACTACCTTGTTGTGCTCATTCCATTGGGGGGAGGAAGACTAAGAAAAATATTGCCATTTTTTGTTAATGTCTTCCATTGGGGGGAGGAAGACTAAGAAAGATATTGCCATTTTTCGTAATAATAAAATTATAAGACAATCTCTTGAATATTTCTTTACAATTTATTTTGTGTTTAAATTTGATATAGTATATATATTATAGATATAGATATAGTATATTTAATATATATAAGCTCTCTCTCTCTCTCTCTCTCTATATATATATATATATATATATTCACACACACGAAGAATAGATCTAAGAGGGATCTTGCTGACATTAAGTGTTATAAGTGCGGAAAATTTTGTCATATTGCTCTAAATTGCAAGCTTCAAAAGCTTAAGAGGCATTTGTTTATTTTATTTTATAGTATTTTAATTACTTCGTTTCTCTCCAGCCATGACTATGTCCGGCTAAACAGATTTATATCTATGTTGAAGATCTAACTTCTCTTGCATATTAACCACGAAAGAGGGCTGTGATCAACAAAAAGCTACTAATGACCTCACTACAACAGTAGATACACTGTATAAACAATAGATATATTGTATACACAGTAAATACACTGTATAAGGGACCCACTTTACTGTAATAGATTCTTTATGTTTTTATTGTTTTCTATAAGTACTAGGACTTGATATCATCAGTGTCCTCTTCTTTAGCAACTGAAGCAAATGTATCACTTTGCTTTTGAGTGGCAAAATACGCCTGCAGATGTCCAACCATTTATGATTATGGTTGGTTTGATAAACTTTCTTCAAAACAATTGATAAAAACGATTGAATAGTCTTTGGCGTTAAATTCTTTTGAACAGACTATTCGTCTAT